TATGAGCACGCTTCCGCTCCTCAATATGTAGAGGTCCTGGGCAAATACTGCAACGTGATGATATTCAATATCACTGTCTTTAATTCTTGTGTCCTCTATTTGTTGTTTTTTAGCTGGAGAAGAACGTATTGGCAATATGATTTCTAATGTCTCGTCCATCATGCCTGCAGCCATATGTGTCCACCGTTGTCTGTTCAACTTGTGGGTTGTCGTCACCTTGTAGTGACTCATTCAGTAATATGGATATATTGTGGAGGACACCACAGGCAAGGACAATCTGACACCCACGGCGTGGACTCATCCTTATCTGTTGAATAAACATGAAATGTTTGTGTCAAATATATAGATACAGAATGTCACATTAAAATGGACATTTTAGAAGCAACTTGTTTGTTTCTTTGAATTATTGATATTACTAGTAATTGGATACGTTAGTTCGGATTCTTTGAATATTATCGATGTAAAACGTAACACACAACACCATGAGTCCAAACCGTAAAGTAATGAAAAGAATCAAGATTAGATGTAGAAAAGTAAAACATTGGTCAAATTAAGTACACAAATATACTATACATATTTACCTCAGAATGAAGTACATGAAACCATCTTTTCCATGTTCTTTCTATTGTAACTCTTGTAGCACACAAGCTGTAGATGATAGATTCCCGCCCAAATCTGTACCTATCACGAAGTTCACTGTCTGTGTAGTTCATTAATGCAAAATTAACAGCTCGGAATCGCTTCTGTTGCCTCGAATTAACCTCTGGAACCATGAAAGCAGCGCTAGGCCTAACCTAATCTGTGAAGATCCGCGTTAGGATTGGTCTTCAGCAACCCATGTGTGTAGTAAGAGGTGACTAACAGGATCAGGTGGTCAGGCTCGTTTTGTTTGTTGTTGTTTAACGCCGCACTCAGCAATATTTCAGCTATATGAAGGCGGTCTGTAAATAATCGAGTCTGGTCCAGACAATTCAGTGATTGACGCAGTTGGGAAACAATGACATGTATCGGGACCACCCGATCCCGTCAGTCGCCTCTTACGACAAGCAGTCTACGACCTCTTCAAATCTGGCTCTTACATCCCAAGTAGGTATAACCGATATTTGCTTTTACTGCATGTAATTTATTTATGCCCACTTTTGCATTAGATCTCTGATGTAACATCTAATAACAGGTTTATAATCACTAAAGGGTATAAGAGGTGGTGTCACAGATTTGTTGATTGCTGCATCAAGCATAAGCCATTGTGTTAGATGTTAACACGAAGTTTTTTATTGCCTGAAGACAGGATAGAGAGTCTGACAAAAATAATGAACTCCTTATATTCTAGAGCAGTTAATATGGCCTTTGATTCACCTGTAAAAATTAGAGAGTCATCTGGTAATCTAGTTGATATATACTCTTCAAAAAAAGAAACTTGACATAGATGTAAAACCACTTTTTGCCAAATATCTAAAATAATTACATTAAATGAGAACCAAATAAGTCAAACAGAAAGATGATGTGTCTATAATTCGCGAAAACACATGCAAAGCACATAAACGTAGCGTTTGGGGATCAATTTTACAGCTTCATCCAAACGCAACCGCCTTTAAAAAACGTGCAGCACAGGATCCTGCATTAAGGCATGCAGGCCCCCCCTGCTGATTGGGTATAAAAATCCACATCAACGGCTGTTCATACAGTCCTTATAACGGCAGTAGAGGCGGTGACAGAATGCCAAGACTGAATGCAGCTCAACGGAACAACGCTATTGGGAGATTACAAGCTGGAGCAACTCAGCAAGAAGTGGCCAGGCACTTTGGCGTATCCAGACAGACAATCTCCGCACTGTTGACCCGATACAACCACACCAACAGAGTTGACGACAGACCAAGGGTGACAACCCAAGCACAAGATCGATACATCCGGCTGCGACACCTCCGAGACCGCACTACCACAGCCAGGTCTACAACCACACAGATCCCTGGGGTACGCAGAATATCAGATCAACCGGTACGCAACAGACTGAGGGAGGCTGGACTTTTTGCACGAAGACCTATTCAACGTCATGTATTGATCCCACGTCATCTGGCGGACCGTCTGCTTTGGTGCCAACAGAGGGTTAGATGGACACGTGCAAGATGGAGAAATGTACTGTTTACTGACGAGTCCCGTTTCCTACTCACACGTGCTGATGGGCGCGCACGTGTCTACAGACGTCGGGATGAACGTTACGCCCCCAACTGTGTTCAGCAGGTTGTCCCATTTGGCGGTATGGGCCGGAATTCATCACGGTGGTAGAACGCCTCTCGTGCATGTGGCAGGTGTATTGACAGGTGTGCGTTACAGAGACTTGATCCTACAGCCTTACGTTCTTCCTCACGTCAACGTTCATGGCGGACAGTTCAAGCAGGACAACGCTCGACCGCATATTGCACGTGTTTGTCTGGACTTCTTACACCACAACAACATTCAGACATTACCTTGGCCAGCCCGGTCACCAGATTTGTCCCTGATTGAGCATCTATGGAACGAGTTGGATCGACGCGTTCGCAGAAGAAATCCACCGCCCCAAACACTTCCGGCGCTTCTTGATGCACTTCAGCATGAATGGCAGCACATCCAACAGCGTGTTATTGACAACTTGATTGCATCTATGGATCGTCGGTGTCAAGCAGTGATTGATGCACGTGGTGGGCACAACCGATACTGACATTTACTGTACCCCTGTGACATTAACTGTATCGTGTACGTGTGTCTGTCTAGGTGACACGATTAATGTTTTGAACATTGTGTACATTGATCTTCAAACAGTGTTTCAATTATGGTTTCTGTGTCCTATTTTGAAACAATCGCATTATATTACATTTTGAAAGTCAGTGTCAAGTTGTTGTTTTGTGAAGAGTATACCGGGAGTCAGTATTCAACGTTGGATACATACCCGGTCTCAATTTTCAACAGACCAGGGTCAATTTTCAACAGTTGAAAAGTGACCCTGTCAGCTTACCAAGTCGTTAAATAGTGACCCGGGCCTCGCGTTGAAAAGTGACTCCGTTGAATTATGACTTCTAGTGTAAATAAAAAGATCTAATCTTATAATCGATGAAATCTTTGTTAGTGTTTTTGTCTAGGTGTTTCTGAGTGCGTATCTGTAAGCTTGCATCAGTTGTTTTACGTACATGTATGTTTTTTTGAGTGCGGTAGAGAGAAGGGTGGGGGCGTTTCATGTTTTATTAAAACGGGAATAATCTCGATATTCAAGATTGACTGGACATAACTATAGATCTATACACCCACTATTAGTACCAATAAAAAAAATTAATAGATCACAAGTCATATATAGATAACATAACAAACGTCATTCTTAAACATGCTTTTACAGCAAACATAAATATTTCTGGTCAAAATGTGGGTTGGATTAAATAAAACATACTTTTAAAACCGTAAACACAAAATAATGTAATGAATCCACTGTAAATAAACTTCAGATCAAATGTAAAAAATCACGCAATTATTAAGGGATTCCTATTTATCTAACAGCAAGTTAAAAACACACAATTTGGTCAAGTCATCTGTCAATATTGAGAATTATCTTACATATTGTACAAACAAAGGTCATAAGTCACTTTCCTCAAAACTTCTTTAAGTAATCACGAACTAAAAATTGAAAAATTGGTAGATATACAAAACACCAACCCCATTGGAACGTCTCTGTGATGAAACATGCGACGTCTCAGAAGATGAGCAACCTTACACACTGTCTTGTATAAAATACAACCAAGAAAGAGAATCACAAATAATCCTAAATCATGATAAAGAATTTGGTGCTCTCTGTTAAAAGGAACAGTACTTACTAATTTTAACAACAGTTATCCAGAAACAACTTCCAAGATCTGTTTTCATATCAACAATTACAAACAAATTCCTTGTATGTACAACATTACCATAGTTTTGCTCAATTCTCATATTGTTTCCATATCATTATAATACACTTGTTTTGAAATAAAATTGTTATTGTAATTTGAGTGTAATATTGCCACTGTTTCTTCATGGAATGTTCCGCAATACATATCTCATCTAAAATATCCTTGTTGTATGATAGTTTCTTACAGTCGTTTACAGGGGCAAGGTCGCCTAAGAGGAGGAGGAGGAGGGTTTTTTTTGTTATGGTTGGTTTTACATTACTTTCCTTGATCTCGAAACTAGGTAATAATAATACGGACCACTCCAACAGTCAGGGACGTCAATTCCGCGTTGCATAGTTCGTTGTAATGCTGCAATAGCCTCAGATTTGTTCTTAAACCAGTGCAGGCTGTGTTAAGATCGTCTCCGATTCGTCAGGTGGGTAGGCCGCTATTGACTTTACTCATCCACGGACATTGTTGACTGTTGCTCTGGCACTTCATACAGCTGTATCGAGACGAGATGGTTGATCTCTCATTCAGTGCTAGGACTGTGACAGTGTGCGTGACTTCGTTCTCTTTTTTATAGGAGAGGCACTGAAACCCTGATTCCTGATTGGTCCAAAACCCAAGCTTCTGAATGGTCAGATTTTCAATCCTGTTTTTTCCTCGGTTGTGCGTGTCGATCCACATCCTAAAGACAACCCATATTTTTTTCAACTTTTTTAATTCCCCTGCTCACATGAACAAACAAACATCTGTGTTGACCATGTATGCTTTGGGGTAAAAGGGGTCTTCCTGCTGCCATCCCAGTCTGGCAAAGTCATCTCTGGCAAGGGTGCCCTGGTAGATGGCATGAAGTTGGACGTCATCAGCCATGATGGCTTCTAAATCCAAGGTGCTCAACCCGAGTGGTTCTTCCATGGTCCCTTGTAGGAGGGGAATAAGTGCTCTTTTTATACCATCATAGCATTACGGAAACGATCTATTTCCAGAACATTTTCGCATTCCTCATAGCAGGTGAGGGTGACCAGGTTCTCAAGAGCTTGTCCAAACTGGATTTCCAAACCCAACTTGCCAGTGTGTCGAGGATAGTTGATACCTTCATCAGCGCCATCATTGAGCAAAATCCTTGAGAGACACCTCACAGGTCTCAGGTCGCCACAGCTGCCCAGTGTTTCGGAACAGATTCATGTAGATTTGTTTCAAATGGGCACTGTTGTTGCTGAAGTCGCTTTTCATTTCCGTGCCATGGACTTCCTGGCCATTGAGTTTCGGCTTCATCATGGTGACATGGTAGTGTTTGAAGTTGTATGGATTCTTCTCTTTGCTTCCTACATAGGCACTATTGTCCACCAGTCCCAGGACCACTCGTTTTGGTAATTGGCCACCGATGAGCTGATCATTGTGAAAGTCTCTACCACCTATGGGGATGTCATGGGCTGTCACTCGTACACGGGAAAGGGGATACTTGGCAGTCACCCCTGCGTTCAGACAGGACACATGTGTTTCTTCGACAGCAGAATCAATGTTGAGTTGACGAACATAAAATTCGGCTTTGGTCAGGGCTATTTTGTAGACACCATCAGCAGCACACATGAAGAAGAACTCATCGGGACTTTGTAGCAATTCCAGTTTCATAGGGACAACATCCAACAGATAGCGTTCTTGAAGAAACAGGTCAGAGTGTAGACGTCCTGTCAGTTCCACTTCTTTGGTGGGCACGATAAGATTACGCCGAGTTCTAACGCCCGTGTTTCTTGCATCAGCATTTGCATCAGGATTGAAGGCGTCCATTTTACCAGCATCATCGGCATACCATCCAGGACATCAAAGGTGAGATGTTTTGGACATCAAAGGTGAGATGTTTTGGCTCCTGCACCATAACTCAAAGGGTTTCCAAGTAGGCTCTGTAAGGTTAAGTGCCAATGGAAGGTGTGATCTCCAACTGATTGTGTCCCACTTGCAGCCGCGAAACAGGGAATGCATTGACTGTCGATACAGGGTTATCCGCTAGAATGGTATCTGTCCTATCTTCTTGAGTCACTCGAACACATACCCTCAGGTAACACTGGTTCAAATCAATGTAAGCGTTCACAGGATTGGAAATGTTAAACTGGAGTGGTCCTGCAACAGAGGGAGGCGCCAAGGAACTATAGTGAATCCATTGACCCTCTTGCAAAGAGGTGGACACAGGGGGTACAGTAAAGAGATCCAACTGGGCCTTTGAACATTCGCAAGCATCTCGGCGCATCATGATGATGGATGTTCCTCCCTTTCTCTGCCTTGAAGGACGTCTGGTCAGGTTGAAAGTTTGATGAGGACTGACCTTTAAACCATTTTTCTTTTCCTTTTACGCTGTTTCTGGTGGGTGGTGGTGGTGGTGGTGGTTGGGATGACTTTACGTCTTTTAGGTGGTCTCGGCTCACTTTCCTCCAAGGCATCCATCAGGGCAGCTGTTCCACGATGTTTCAGACTCTGACCATTTGCGTTTGCCTGCAGCCACCTCACTCACCAACCCTGGTAGGATCTTTTTACCCATCTTGAGCATCGATGTTCCAGCAGATTTAAGGCAATGCAATCTTCAAGATACCACCGAGACCACTGTCACATTGAAGATACCGTCCTTTGTATACTTTGATGCCACTCTCACGCTGGCCGAACTGTCCTCGATTAAACTTGTGTGCCAACGGGTGTCTAAACATGTTGCTTCTGCGTTATTGGCGGTGTCTGAAGTGAAGTGTCACGATGGCTTTCCCCATTTGAAATGGCACTGGGCGCCCCGTGTCGTCCATGATATAGAGTTTAATACTGTCAAAGGAACCATGACGCACTCCAAGGTAGCGAATGTGCCGAGGACTTTTAATCACCACACTGTCTTGCATCATCTTCTTTGACACAGGCACATGTATCAGCAATGGGGCCATCATATTGCCCACAATTTGATCTTCGACCAGGTTGGTGTAAATGTACACGGTATCAAATCCTGACAGGTGATTAGCTTTTGTATCACCTGTGATTTGTTTAAATTCACCTCCCCCCACTGTTATGGGTTGAGCAACTGGGCAATGCACTCAAGAGAACAGCAGTCTCTGTGTAGCTTTTTTATTCATTATCATCATGGATTGGTAGTTTGAAAAAATCCAAGCATTCTCGAGAGTGGACTTGGTAAGATCACCTTTCCATCTTCAAGCATGTCAAATCGGAGACTATCTTTGGGATACTTGACATCAATGTCAAATCGTCTGCCATCACTTTGGATTTTGTCGGAGGACTGTTCTTCCAAGACACCTGTAATATGCTCCTGAATCAAACGGTTGAGGGTTTTCGCCAAATCTTCAGATGAATAGGCTCCTTTCTCGATAGGAATCTTCTTGCTGTCATAATTGACGACACAATGCTGTGTCTGTGGTACAGTGGCAGACACGCTTTCATACACATGGGTGTCTTTTTTTAGTGAGAGGTTCAGAGCAAACCAGTCAAAGGGTGGGGCGACGTTGTACCATGTCACTGGAAAGTGAATTTCACTGACTCCCACCTCCCAGTGTGGACGGTCCAGATGCAGAGGATAAGGCAACTTGATTGCATATGCCTTGACTCTGTTGTTTGGATAGATATCCATGGAGGCATCACTGGGCAGGGTCATGTAAAAGTCTTGTTTTGAAAAAGAGACAGCAGCCATGACGACATGAGCTAGGGCAGAAAACTGTGAGTGGATGAGGTATCAAGTTGAAGACTTCTGGTGGTGGGGTCGTCGTGGTGAGGCGGCCAAGGTGGGTGGTGGAAGTATGTATCCCAAACAACTGGAAAGCAGGGCTGTCAACAACTGTTTCTCTTCGTGATAGAAGGCCAACTGAACCATGCTCATGATGACCACACCATATATCACAATGCTCTGAGCAAAAAACATGACTTCACTGCGTGGTAAAGTCATGCCAAAACAACACCAAGGTGAGTGTCGGCGCTGGTGATGACGTCGTGCAGCAGCAAGGGGAGGTTCATCGGTACCCACGGATGCTGAGAGGTTTCTCTGAAGTGATGGTGGTGGTTGTGGTTCTGTCATCGCATGTGTCCATCCTCTGAATGAGTGACAGAATGCACCTTACTTTATTTGTAAATGATCTGCAGGGATCCACGAATTAAAACTAGCAGGGTAGCCAGTCCATTTCACCAAGAACTCTTCTTGGCCCTGTTTCGCCCCTTGACGTCTTTTCAGCGCGTGATCCACGGCATACACATCATCTGTTTTCAAGATGGGCTGTATTTCTTCAGGGTAAAAGGTTCCTTTGAGGACTTCACCATGATCATTTTTGATCCGATACACAGGAGGTGTTCTCCCTGTGACCAGCCAGTCCACAGTAATCAGTTCAGTGGTCCAGTTTGGGAGATAGCCTTTCTCAAAGGTGCCTTTGGTTTTGTTCAGACGTACACGGGTGCCCGGCAGTAGAAGAGAGGGGGATCTTGTCTTGGGGGACGACAGTCTTTGTGTTGTTGCTGCTGCTGTTGTTGTTGTTCCTCCATGTAGTCTAACACCCAAATTCTGACTGGGGATCTCCTGGGAGGACGTCCACAGGTCGCTGAACAATGGTCCGATGCACACGTTGGTTCTACGACTTGACCAACTGGGGTAAGACTTTCAAATAGTGTCTGGTCCCATGCTGAGTAAAGAATCGCCACATTATATTTTTCAGAGTCCTTTGAAACCGTTCCATCACTGCTGCTTTCGTTTCAGGATTTTGAAAATGAATGCCGTAGAAATGAATGCCGTGCTTTGTCATGAGTGCCTCAAAAGGGCAGTTGACAAATTCTCTGCCTTTGTCTGTTTGCATTTGAGCAGGTAGTCGACCTTTGGCTTGTTTGCATCAGCAAGGTTTGAAAATCTTCCGTCAAAGCAGAACTGCTCTTGGCCTTCAAGGGTTGCACCCATGCCATCTTTGAAAACACATCGATCACGCACAGCAGATATTTGAATCCTTTGTTGTCGTCTTGAAAGGCAATCATGTCACTCAAGTCTGCTTGATTCAATTCAATTCATCGACGCCTCCCACACGATAGTGGTCTCTTGGAAAGGAGCGTCTGGCTGGTTTGTGTAAGGTGTAGGTACTTTGGGTTTGCAACCAACGCTTGATGTGACTTGGTGATTGCATGGTTTTCTTCTTGCTTTTACTGGTTCTTGCATCTTGAGCGTGGATGCATGCTGCTTTCCACAAAGGTCACCAGCCGCCAAAACTTGCTGGATGTTCAGGATGAAAGTAGGTTTTTTCCAACCAGGCCATCCAAAGGGAAGTAGGAAATCCTTTGTTTTGTTTCCCTGCAGCAGCAGAGGGAAGAATGCGCCGTCGAGTGTTGGTCTGTCGCTTCATTTCTCTCAGACTGATGCCACTCGGTACATGGATAGCCTTTTTATAGAGAGGGAGAAATGTTTTCTTATGTGGTGCTAAAGGATATCCATGAACACTGCCTGTTGATGAATCTGTCCTGTTTGGTAACAGAGGGAGGTGGGGTCATCAACTATGGGGTTGGCATCTCCTCTTTCTCCTTCCCTTTTTGTGACTTTGTTGGGAGAACTTGGGGAGAGGGAACTGGGTGTTGGGTGTTCTTGGTGTTGAGTGTTGTTGTTGTTGTTGCTGCTGCTTCTGCATCCATTGCCATCGTTGAGGATTTCCAATCATTTCATTGGGAACATGACTGTTGGCCAAATGGTGACTCAAAATGGTCCAACCTGCCGGCCCCTCTTTGGTTTTCCATTGACGCACTAAATTGTTGATCAAGTCCACCATGTGTGTGCCAGGGACGGGTTTCCCTTCCACAGTCAGGGTTCACTCTGGAGTCCAACTCAAGTCGGGATTGTTTTGAATCCTTGTCATCAAATTCATGGCTTTACTGGACATGGCTTTAGGAACACTCATGACCACTTCGTCTATCACTTGTTGAGGAGGGCCAGGTCTACCTGTGGTGTCTATTGTTGATGGTGATAGTGGTGGTGGAGTCACTTTGGGTTGTAGTGGTTTGATGGTGGTGTTGTTTTTTGTCGTTGTTGTTGTTGTGCTGTTGGCACTGCAACTCTAGCATGTGTTGCAACAGATAGTTGTATTCTTGTTCCCGCATGTGAAAAGGCTGCTGTGACCTCTGCATCAACGTGTCCATCTCTTCCAAATTTTGGAGACGTTTCTTTTCCAAGAGATGGGTGTGAAGTGTCCGACGATGACGTTGTTTGGTGGCCTGTAGACTTTGCCATGTTTCTTCAGGCACCAACACCATCTTGTGTGCGTACTTCATGGTGGCACACCACACACTGATCCCAACCTTCCTGGTGTCAGACCATTTATTACTTTCCTCCAAACAAGAGGCAGAACCAATAAGAGGAATGAGCCCTCCTAATAATCCTCCATGTTGAAGAATTTTACGTTTCTTGCTTAGAGGTACTTGTTTTTTCATGAGTGTATTCAAGACTTTACCATGCCGTTGCAAGTTTTGACATTGAGTTGTGGTCATGGGAATATTGCCTAAATACAAGTTCACCACACACATAGGGCACGGATGAGATCGGTAGGAGCATGTTTGAGAATGACTTTGCACATCGCTGGAGTGGCAGCACACAAATGACACAGAGCGTGTTTCTGTTTCCTGAGGCACCACGACATCTTTCCTGCATGTCGATGTTAGCCTGAATGAGGCACCTGATCTGCAGCAGCTCTCTTTTATCAGGCAGTGGCAGGAGGGAGTTGCAACTGTTGATCTGCCTTTTTGGACTTTCTTTTGGTGCACATTTGCACCATCCGCACGAGTGAATCAGC